TTTAGAAATACTTTGAAGATGAATGAAGGTGATATAAGGACACTCCTACAAGGAAACTAGGGATTGAAAAATATTCCAAATTCTGTTTGGCGAAAAAAAGGAAAACCATTTACTGTCCTTCCAGGTATCGGTGGTTTTACAAAATGAAAGAATACTGAAGTATTTAAAATGAGGTGCTGCATGCATGCATGCACCTTGTGAGGGGATGGTGTCCTCTGAGCAGCAGGGTGTGTTGGTCTGGCTGCTGTAGCCGCTGGAGCCCTGCAGCGAGTCCCTGCTGGAGCCATGGATGTCCAGCTGGAGGCCCCGAGCCAGCGCTCTGGCCAGCTCCTCGTGGGCCTCCTTGTCGCCCTGTCAGACGGAGTAAGACATCATCATCAAACATTGCTCTTTGGGTTCTAAATGAGGTCTCTGTTGATCTATTTTCTTAAACTGACTTTTGGAGACATCACAGTGTGGCTTCCTTTAATTCCCTGTGGCTCCTCAAACGGTGTGCTGACATCAGAGCCCTGGTGGCTGCTGGGATCTGGAGTTTCTCTCCTGTCTTTGCTCCGCCTCAGGGTATTGACCAGCGGCTGGTCGTAAGGACCGGGTTTGGCCCAGTCCTACACAATAAAAGAAAAACAAAAGGTTTTGCTGTCGAGTAACAAGCATACATAAAGAGCAGCAGAAAGGAGCTGTGTTTCTTTTCTTTTTTGTATTAAAATAAAAGGTTTAAAAATATTTTCATTAACAAGAGAGAAAGATCACATTAGTAAAAAACTATTTTTCAAGAGCTTTTATCTGAACTGTAGACAAAAGGATCAAGAACAGTGAGAAAAAGTGAAAAACAAACAGCAAATGAAGGAGAAGAGATGAAACGAGGGAAAAAAAACAAAGGAAAAGGGAAGGAAATCATGGAGGAATGTGAATCAAACCTTCCAGGATGGGACTCTGGATGAGGGGATGACTCCGATCCCCGACGGGCCGGGAGGCGAGAGCTCTGCCGGCTGGCTGAAGGCCGAGCGGGACCACGCCCAGGTGGGAGACACACATTGATAGGAGGGCGAGGAGATGGGGGAGGTGGAGCAAGAGGAATAGGTGAAGTATGAAGGGTGGAGGTGGGTGTCCAGGCCCTGCAGCACCGCTCCGTGCAGACAGAGGGCAGCGTGATGGTCAAAACCATTTGGCAACTGAAGGTGAGCGGGTGAAGGAGAGGCAGATAAACAGATGCAAAATTAATGGTGATGAATTGGTATGAATACATGGAGAAGACGGGAAAAAAAAAATCTGGTTTCCAGACAGTGGATCGACCTCAGCGGAGCTCAGTGACACATCTTCCAACAGTTCAGGCATAAGCATAAACCAGCATGTGTTTCCACATGTATTTCTTCACCTGTGGTTGCCCGGAGCTGGGCTCAGGATGTGAGGGAGGGGGAGAGGAGGCCTCCTCATTGACAGACTGAGAGAACAAAGCAGAGACACAAAGCTGCAGGAAAGCAAAGCACACCGAAAACCAAGACCAAGAGTTTGTGAGACAAAGCAAAGAGACAACAGAAAAACACACAAAAAAGACAAGTTTGCAAAACAAAAAAAGCAGAAAGTCTTAATGAAACCCAAAGATCGAGAACCAACAGCACAGAAATGTAATGAGGAAAATCTGAAGAAGACAAAGCCATGAAATTTCTGACACAAAACTGAATCATTGATATTTAAACAATATCCTACATGTTAAGACAGAAAACAAAAGATACATACAAAAGCCATGAAAAAAGATGCCTCCTTTGCTGCATTTCTGCAGCAGGGAGCATCTGAGATTATATTTTATCCTGTTGGTCCTCATCCAGACTCATTTCTCATCATTTTGGTTGTTTTGAACAACATAACCATCCCTCCAACGATAGATGTGTTTAGAAAGTTTACAGGATTAACAAACCTCTATCTTACTTGAGGAACACATCTTCTCCTCTTTTCCCATTTGAAAGCTTCCCGTAAGAAATGCTTCCTCTAATATGATCCTAAATCAAACAGGAAATCCTGGATTATAAGTTTCAAATTTCTACACATTGAATTGTTCTACTTGAAAAATTTAATTAGAAATTAATTAGTTATATCCAATATTTGGAACGTTTTAGTCGTGGGATTGTATTGCTGTGAAATTCAGTCTTTTAACTAGAATTTCTTTACTGTAGGTTTGAAAATACCTGACCTGTAGCTTTATGCAGGATATATAAACCTCCTCTGAATAGAAACATACTTTTTTTGTAAGTTTTTCCATTAAAATCGTAAAAACACCAAAAGATTTATTTAATTTTCTTGCCTTCAGAACAAATGTAAGTAAAAAAAATCTTTTCCACTTCACAATGATCACACTTTTGCTTAGGTTAGTGATTAAACATTTGGTAAAACCAAGCAGAATGATTTTAAAATGAAACTCAAATATCTTATTGCTTCTATTGCTTTTAAGGAACTCTGTCCCTTTTATGATGTGTAAAGTTCTTGTTGAAGGACTTTAATTTCAGTTTCTCCTCTCTGACAGCAGTCATGTCTCTGCAAATATGAGCTTGTTCTTTATGCAATAAACACACGTTACCAAAGCAACCTTCCCCCCATGTAAATCTCTCACACCTTGGATTACGCACCATTCAAAAACCTTCAATGGACTTCCAAGGACCAATTTAACTTGTCTGACAGCATTGACCTACAGCTACCACTAAATATTTTAATTAATAAATGATTTTAATAGAATTCAAGTTTAATTAAAATCAAAGAGACTGCATGGCATAGAAGTTTTTGGATCAGAAGGTGGACTGATTGTGTAGCACAATACAAGGATACCTCTAGTGATAGCAGGTCTTTGAAAGGGTTCTGCTCACTGAGGCCATCTTGTGGTAGAAAATATAAATATTCATCAGGACAAAAACTAAATACTAATGCCTAATTGGGGAAACTCTGACCAAGGTCCTCTTGAACAGGGCAAAAATTCCTCTTCTCAAAATGTTAAGAAAAACACACAAGCTGCAGTCCCCAGCAAAGAACAAACACAAAAACAAAATATAAAACAGCCTCCAACCCCTGACAAGAAAACTAAAAACACCTTAAAAAGATCGAAGGACCTTCATGGCTCTCTTTTTTGCCATAAAAAGAAAAAAAAACCAAAAAACTTTTAGGGCCTGAAACTTATATCTCCCTGTTTTCAAGGACTCCAGAGACCAGGGGGAACTTTGCTCAAAAGTGATTTAAAAAAATCCTAACAGGTGTTGGAAATACCACCCAGCATCTGTTACCTGCAAGTTGTCTGGAGGCATCGGTGACGGGGATTTGGACTGGTAGGCGTCCTGTGAGATGAAGCCGGAGTCGTGGGACGAGACCGAAGAGAGGCGGGCCGGGGTCTGCTGGGGCAGCACTGAGGAGGACGAGGAGGAGGAGGCGCGGTAACGGAAATGGGAGGTGGGGGAGTGGCAGTGTGAGCCGCTGGAGCGAGAGTCGCTGCTGTTCACGCTGTTCAGGCTGCTGTGGGACAGACGAGAAGACAGAGGAAGAAAGTCAGATAGATCTACTTTATCAAAGGACTTTTTTATTAAAACCTTTTCTTTGCTTTTTAATATTTGACATTTATTGAATTCAAATACCTCTAAATTTATGATTTAAAGTTTTATACATTTAGGGACTGTTAAAGTTGAACATTTAAAAGCAGCAACAGCTTTATCAAAGTTTGCAGCCAAAGTAGAGTGACAGCAGGCAAAGCCGAACCACAATCACTTTTACAAAAAGCATTAGATTTGGATTGATACCAAAACCACAAGACCAAAAGAGCTATTTATCTATTAGAAGATAAAATTCAGAGCAGGTTTCCAAAAACTTCAACAAAACTTTAAAAAAAATTTTTAAAAAGAAAGATTTACAGGTTTAAAGAAATGAATCCATCACAAACAAAAAGTGAGAGAAGACAGTTTCATTTACAGTCCACAAGGTGGCAGCATAACACGGATTCGTATTATTGGAACAATCTGGTTCACCCCAAAAAAAAAAAAAACAGGCTCCACACACAGACACAAAAACAATAACATAAAACAACAGACATCCAAAAAGGGATGTGATTTCAGCAGAAGGAACATATAGATTTTTTTTCTTTTGTTTGTTTTTTAAATGGTGAAATATTAGACATGAATAAATTTGATACGTAGAATCTATTAGGAGAAATGGAGAGCTCACCAACAGTGACAGAGAAATAATATGACTGAACTTAAATGAAATGACCTAAGCAGATACAATAGGACAAATAAAACAACAAAACCATTTAAATCTATAAAATTATGAAGAATGGAGCCATAATTAGGTAAAATTAACACCAAAACATGAAAAGTTTTCGCAAATTTATCATAATAACTTCTGGGGATGTAAAACAAGCAGCTAACAAAAAAGATCTATTTTCTTTAGTTGTGTCTGTTTTATTTTAATTCAAACCATGTATTTTTTTTTTGTTGCTAATTAGTAAAAATCATAAATGGAGGGTCCCACCGTCGAACACACCTGCACATGCTGGACTTCCTGGATACGGTGGTGCTAGGAGAGGAGGGAGGAGTTTGGTATGACCAGGTGCACTCTGAGCCCTTCAGGTCTACAATTACCTGCAGAAAACGGGGAACAGAAAGCAGTCTTTACAAAAATGAGGATTAAGAAATGCTTTTGGTGCCTTTTTCATCCGGTTCTGATGCTTCCTGAGATGAAAAACAAAAATGAGCTGGAGGATAACTCTTTTAACATACAAGGTCATTTGCAATGCATCTCAAACTATAAATACAAATTTTTCAAAACATATTTTCTTCACCAGCTTCTGCACAGTGAGAACCTTTTAAGGCAAATTGTATCCAAGAGACACGTCATGGAAGTACGACTAATAATGCAGAAAGTTCAGCGAGAATCGAGTCAAAATTTATAAATTTATCCATGTTCTTCATATAATATTTTATGAATTTCCCATCCTCAGCTTTATATTTTTGTTTGCCTGTTATTTTCATTTAAAATGATAAAAAAAAAAGATTTAATGTGAATAAAAAAGGAAGGACAGAAGGGATGTTGACACAATGCATGAAAAAACAGAAAAAAAAGGGTTGAAAGGAAGGACCCAAGGAAGAAAAAATATTTATTAAGAAATTATATAAAAGGAAAAAAAGAGACATCAAAGAAAAGCAACAAAGGTTAAAAAAAGGACAATAATTTCAGCAATCGGAGGGGAAAATAAGTATGTAAATGAATATTTTTACATACTTTGATTGTGGGCATTACTTAAATTGAATTTTACATTTTATCAAACTTCATGGAAAATATATAAATCAGATTATTAGTTTATTAAATCATGCAGTTTGTAAGTTTATGAGAGAAATTACTGTCAACTGCAGCCTTGAATCCATAAACTTTATTTGTAATTAAATTTGTAAAGATAAGCACTTTTTTATCCTGCTATTATGAAACTTTGCTTATACGCTTCTTTCGCTTATGGTATTTTTATGCTGCTTGTTTTTCAGGTACAGCTGGGTATCAAGTTTTTTATATCCTTTAAAGGATTTTATTTCCTTCTCTTTAAAGCCCCTGTTTTCAGACAGATACATTTTGTGTTTCCTGATTTCCTTTTGTTCTTGTAAAGTTTAGTATTTTTTAAGATTTAGAATTTATCTTCATAATAATTTTATTTTTATTTTTTATTTTTTTTTTACAAAAACCTAATCAGTTTTATCTGAATCAGAATTGACAGATTTCTTTCCTGCAGGCAGAAACTGTGTCAGTAAGAGGAGGATGTCCATCTGCTAGTTGGCTTTCAGCTCTGAAAAAAAACAAAAACAAACAAACTGGTTTTGGCTCCTCAAAAGATGCACATATTCCCATTTTTCAGTCAATGAACAATTATCCAGAGCCAAGAGGTGGTGTTCCAGTTGGACCCATTCTTCAGTCCACCGTCCAGAACTCTGGGGCACTGCAGTGCCTCACATCAAAACGTATGGGAAGTTAAACTATGGTAGAGTCAACTAATATGTTCTAATTCACTCATCAGTTGTTTGCCAAGTATTCAGCCCAGTTATTTAGCTTAAAGTTTAGAAGAGTATGCTTGGTTACATCCAAAATAATGATGCTACTGAGATAAAAGCTACATTAGAGGAAGTAGGTAGAAAGTGGGAGTGATTGCACTTTCATTACGTTAAAGACAAGAAAATCTACATGAAGGAGCTGTGATTTACAGTTAAAAGATTATGTTTGCTTTGGACATGTTTTTGTTTTTCCAAACAGCAGGTCTTTCAGATACCAGATAGAGTAGAAATGTGTGTAAATCTGAGCAGAATCAGCTCTGCCTGGTGGTAAACAGACGTACCTGCTCACTGGAGGCTGGCAGCTTGTGTGGGTCCATGGTCAGGATCTTCAGGTCATCTGTGAGATTCTGGAGGTGGGTGATCTCCCCCAGCATGGACATCTCCTCATCCTGAAATGCACAAACATCCCATCAGAGAGCTCCAAAGTCTGTGGCACCTTTTTATTTTAGAAACAATCTGTGTTGATTTCAGCAACTCATAATAACTGAGTTGGAAACATTCATTTTCTCCAATACAGCTATTTTATTTATTTTTTCTCCCAAAGGGTTTTGAAAACACAAACAGATTTGAAAGGATCACTGACCACGACCGGCCTCAGCATGGAGACAAAAACGCAGAAACGGCTCCTTTCCTCCACCAACGCCCTCCGAACAGCCTGCTTCTCTGTCTCCTCCAGCAGCAGGTACTTATCGCTGACGTCCTGCATGGCGCTGTCCAGCTGAGGCTGAAGGTCTCCTCGACCTAAACATGCAGCAGACACAGGAAAAGGGCTCAACCAGGCTGCAACAGACTGCTCTGCAGAGTAGTTATCACCATTAAGTTTTTTTTTTATATATATATATATTCTCAGCTTCTAAGTTTTAATATTTTAACAAATACAAATCAGAAAACTCAGGGATGCTTAGATTTTACTCCCACTGCTTTGTTACCCCAGTGAACAAATTGTCTTTAAACAATACTAGGATGCTGCTATATTTTCCTTTAAATATTAATTATAAAGAGACTTTAAATAGTAAATTCCACCCTATTATAGGCAGCATATTCTCTTCCTGTCTCCTCTTTAATCTTTAAAGGGCAGCTTAGAGCATGGTTGGTCAATAATCAGCACTGTGATCCCTGAAAATTAGGTACCTTTGTGATGTTAGTTTGTCACAATCAAAAAATGCATTTTAATACCAGCTTCTCGGATAGTTCTTTTTTTTTCATTTTACACATATTTTTTTTTATTGAATTTTTTATTTTCACATCATAAATTGCATGACTTTCTTGATAGTTTTATGAGACTATTGATGTAAATCAGCATTTAGCTACATCTGCTATTTTTACAACATTATACAGTCAATAATATACACTGTTCCATTTCAGTCAATCAATTCTGATGACCTGTGAGCTGAACTTACACAATAACAATGAATGCTTTTGTGTTAATTGTTCGACATATAGACTCATAACTGTAAATTATTTCCAAAAGCAAACAACAGAATAATGATAAAATTCCACCCAAAGCTGAGAAGTTATTAATCTAAATGTATTTCCCCCCCCAAAGATTCTCGTTTTTGATTAAATTCACTGTTTGCTATAGAGGACATTTTATCACGCTGATGTCATTACAATTAAAATGAAGATTTAATGGGTGGGATAAAGATAAAGGGGGAATTAAAGAGGGGGCGGGCAGCTTAAAGCAAAACCACATCCAGAACATCATCCAGCACTGGGATCCAGTTTCATTGTTCAGAGCTTCGGTTCCACACAGAATGCTCTGTTCTCACACCACAAACACTCCTATGGCTTCAAAACAATAGTTAGGAGACTCCCACTAACCAGTAAACCACATTAAACATTTAAACAGCCAATCAGATGCAGTGGGAAACAAACTGCTGGCATCCAATTAAAACGCATTATTAGAAGAGTGCTAATAATCTTAAGCAGTGTGCATGAAGGAAAGGAAACATGAAATTACTCAACTACTTTTGCAAAACATCTGGCTTAATGTGTTTAGCATTCAGCCCAACCAAATTAATTTGTGCAAGGACAGAGTGTCATGTTCTACAGAGGATTAGATCAGGTTTATCTGCATGCCCAGACTTCGCTGTACCATCCACTGTAACAGGATAGGCGCCTGCATGAAAGCATCCTCTAAGGAGCTGAGGATCATTTATTTCAGGGTCTGTTAGATATGTTTCCCCTACAATCCCATCTGATAGCAGCGGCCCTGATTCCAATACAGTGAGTTTATTCTTGTCATGTTTCATTTCAAAAAAACACAAGCCTGCATCAAAAGTCTTGTAATTCAAAAAGCTTTGTTCCATTCCTGCTCTGGGATTCAATCTAAAGGAGAACCAATTTGAAGAGAAGCAGTTTTTCATCAACCTTTTACTTATTGCTCTATTATAGACATTGGTGTAAATGTATATTAATCTTTTAGAATATTCTACACTACCGCTTCTATGGTTTGATGTTCCTTCAAGGAGCGCATAAAGTTTTCTCTAGTAGCATTAAGAAGAGCTTTGTACTGCCAGTCAGCTGGCTGAAAGATTGCTCCCACATATTTCACATCCTTACAAGGAACAAAACTTCTGTCGTTTGTAAATATTTCCATTCAAAAAACATGAACCCTAATTGGAATTACATCTACTTTATCATTTTTATTAAAAATTAAAAAGCCATATTGTTCTACTAATTTAGTTGCGATAAGATTTTTTCTTTTTACAGTTTAAAATAAATAGTATTTATCAGGTTGTATTTTTTTTTTTTATATTTCCTGTTCTTTTCTAAATATGGTAAAAGCATTAGTTTTATAGACTGGGGTATGGCTTCAAATCTAAACAAAGGAATTTTATGTTTGGGAAAAACTGTAACATATATGAAGTGTTCATTGGTTATGATGTGCTCATCTTGCATTGGAAGAATTGAGGAGTACTTAACCTTTTGTCATGACCACACAATTTTCCAAAGGCAGAGGTGGGTAGAGTGAAAAACTGTATTCAATTAAGAAGAAAGTAAGAACATAAGAAGTAGCCATCCAAGAAAGGACTCAATTAAGAGTAAATCATCTCTAAGAACAAGAATAGACTGTCGAGTTTCACATGAAAGTTCTCTTTTTCTGGCCATTTTGAGCGTTTAATTGACCCCACAAATGTGATGCTCCAGAAACTAAATCTGCTCAAAGGAAGTTCAGTTCTGTAGCTTCTGTAACGAGCTAAACTGTTTTCAGATATGTGAACATGATTGCACAAGGGTTTTCTAATCGTCAATTAGCCTTCTGAGCCAATGAGCAAACACATTTTACGATTAGAACGCTGGAGTGATAGTTGCTGGAAATGGGCCTCTATACACCTATGTAGATATTGCACCAAAAACCAGACATTTGCAGCTAGAATAGTCATTTACCACATTAGCAATGTATAGACTGACTGTACTTCTTTAAAGTTAAGACTAGTTTAAAGTTATCTTCATTGAAAAGTACAGTGCTTTTCCTTCAAAAATAAGGACATTTCAATAAAAGTATAACAGAATGATTATACAAAAACCTTTTTATGTGAAAGGAACACTTCAAAAATACATTACTTTAGTTATAAGATTTATAAAATTAACAGTTTATGTATGTCAGAATAGTATAAAGGATAATATGCTGTTTACTGTATTTTTACTCGATCTCCAAATTACATAATAGATGAAAAATACCAATAAGCCAATAAGCCTTAAGATGACAACAGAACCCTAACCCTACTCACGATGGATGGAGTAAATTTCACCCAAGTAAGAGTAGTGATACTTTATCATATTTTTACTTTAGTAGAAGTAAAACATACAAATGCTACTTCTAAAGTACATTTTTTGTTTCAAAATGTTAACCAAGTGTAATAGAGTAAATCTACCTAGTTACTAGCCATCTAGGCAACAGGGGGTCCCCCTGACCATCCTAAGGTGAAAGTTTGATGCTCTAAACACAGTCAATAAATGCCAGGTGGTCCACTTATTAGCCAACATCTTCGTTGGTGTAGACAGAGCACATCCAGTACGCCGCATGAGAATCTAATTGGGAAGCTTCTGTATAGTAGCTTTTTTACATGATTTCTAATATCACATGTACAGAAAGGTGTGCTGGACGTAATTTACTTTAAGAAAGTAACAATACATTTAATCTAAAAGCGCCTGTGAAGGTCACTCAAGGACATTGTATAAAAAGACATGGTTTAAAAACAAGTTAAAATGCAATAAAAATAAGTATGATTTCTGAAACTCTATGATGATTTAAACGAAGGAGAGAGTGGATATTAAAAAGAGGAATGAGTTCCGGAGTGGCTAGACGCTTTACTCCCCACGGTGCTAAAATGGCTGGAAGGCACAGTGAGGTGGATGGAGGAGGATGAAAAGGGAGAACAGAAAGGAGAACAGAAAGATTAGGACAGGGAGGTTGTGAATGGCTGAATGTGTACAGAAGATTTTTAATTTAACTGGAAGTCGGAGCAGCTGCTGGAGGACGGGGTTGAAGTGGTGGAAAGAGGGGGGTTGGTAATAATGTGGGCTGATGAATTCTGAGCCATCTAAAGCTCATGGAGGGATTTGTAAAGAAGAACAAAAAGGAGAGACTTACAGTAAAGCTAACTACCCTTATAATACAGAAATATAAAACAGACAAGAGAGCTGGAGGGATTGTAATGACAGAGTAACTTCAAACAATTCTTGATGTGTGATTTGAGGAGGGGGGTTTAACAGATGACAGAATAAGAAATGTTTGATTTCTGATTTCCTAGATTCCAGGAGTGCATAAAAACGTCGACACATTTAATTGAATCTACTTCAGCTTTTGCTGCTTTCTTGTTCTGAAAAGGTTTTAAGGCTTTACTTTTTTCCCCCCATTTAAGATTCTGACTTGGAAATCCAGCCTTCTGTATTTGATGGCAGACATAAACATATAATTAAAGTTCTTCATTCCTCCAGCATGGTCCAAAGCCAGTGTCTGCGGTGAGGCAGACTGATAGGAGTTAAGTCGATCTCTTTCCAACTAAACTTTTCCAGGCAGATGCTTCAGAGAAAGGCTTGATGGGAATGTTTTTTTCCTGGCTTTACAATTTTCTTTCTTTCCAGCTTTATCTATAGAATTCGCCACAAATCTTTCTTTCTATCCTTCCTTTTTTCATTTTATCCAGCCAAGAAAAAATCACAGATAATCTGTTAAGATAGCAGATGGTTGCTCATATTTCCATCTTGCATTCAGTTCAATATAGTGTTGGTAACTATGGAGATGGGCTTCACAAGCTATTATAATATTTTTTTCTATTTGAAAACTTGCATATTTTAGTTTAATCAAATTTAGATTTTAGAAAAAGATAGTCTAAGTAAATGACGGATGTAAACCAACCTAACCCTTGGTAAAAACATGATCTCCCCCTTAGCTACTTAAGTGCATATTTTGGAAACTGCATTTAATTATTCTAGCCTCACTCAGATCTGATGAATAAAGAAAAAAAAACTTCATTAGAACAAAATAAAGCAGGTTAAATTATCTCAAAAGGCAACAAAACTGAAATGTACCAATCTATAGAAATTCAGTAACAGAGTAGAAACAATTATGGACATCTGTCACTCTAAAGAGGGTACTTGACCTGTTTCTGAGACGTTGGAATAAACACTCATCTATAAGGGAACCATAGAACTGGGAACAACATCTAAAGCACAGCAGGGCTCTCTCTTTAGATAAGGTCAAAGTTCATGGCTCAACAACAAACTGATAAATGATAAATGGCCTGTACTTACATAGCGCTTTTTCAAGTCCGAAGACTTGACCAAAGTGCTTTCCACTACATTCAGTCATTCACCCGTTCTCGCACACACTGATGGTGGTGAGCTAGATTGTAGCCACAGCTGCCATGGGGCACACTGACGGGAGCAAGGCTGCCGTACACTGGTGCCTCCAGGCCCTCCGACCACCATCAGTAGGCAATGCAGGTGAAGTGTTTTGCCCAAGGACACAACGGCAATAAAACCAAGAGTTGGGGCTTGAACCAACTACCCTCCAGTTGCAGGGCAAACTCAGACAGAGATCAATCTCACATGGAGAGACTTTGGCATTTTATACTGCTGATTTAAGAGACAAAATTATAACCTTTTCAAAACTGTGTATTCCACTGATATTTGACATCTAAGTGTCTTAGAAAAAGAATCCCAACAGTGTAACATGGTAATGGCAGTATAATCTTTGGGGCTGCTTTGCTGTTTTTAATGAAACATGAAAGGAATTTCCACCAAAAAATCCTAAAAGAAAATTTCAAACCATCATTGAAACTTTAAATTAAAGCTTACTTTGATCGGGCTAGTCGATAGTTCTTCAAAATCCAACTTTGAATAACTATCAAAAATTATATAATGAAGGTTTTGTACTTTTCTAGTTAATGTTTAGACTTCCCCCAATTAACCTAAATAAAACAAATCTAGAGTTTTAAGAAAGCCAGAGGCAGCCTAAACACTTTGAGCTTCCTCTTCTGTTTGAGAGAAGCAATAATTATTCAAAAACTCAAACATAAGGCATCCTTTTTTTTGACATTTATCCTTGTTCCATTTTGTTTCTGTTTGTTTATTCATTTTCCCTCTCCGGACATTCATGACATAAAAGAGGAACCAATTTTTCTCCTCCCATGTTTCCTTCTCTGAAACTCCCTGTACTCTACCCTTTCAACATTCAAAGCCATGGCAAAGGGAGTTTCCTTTCATACACTAATAATAGTCTGGGAGGGCCAGAGGATTGAAGCAGTTCCACCACATCTGAGGTTCCTCTGGGGTCATACTAAGGTTCTGTTTATTCTGTTCTCAGAGTTTCTTCTCACAGTTCAAAGCAGGATACTAACAAGTTCTTTTGATTCCTGACATAACTTAATCCATTCAGTACCGTGATTCAGAAGCAAGATTACATGTTGTAATATCCAATTAGTTTTCATGGGGGGAAGGGTGATGAGTCCTTTCCAGTTCTTATAATTAATCAGTATCATGGCTTTGCTTTAGCTTATAAAGGAGGATTATGAGAGTTTTCTTGATAGCTCAGATGTGCAAACGTCTGACGTTCTGCTAACCTGAATGTGCAGAGAAAAAAAAGATAAGAAAATAGAAACTATGAGCTTTGACTCTGTTAATCGTCCTCCAAAATGTGAGATTTAAAAGTACACTTCAAGATAGTGATATGTTCAGATTGAATTTTATTAACCTGCCGTCACCTTTGACCTTCAAATAGTTGTGTCTGCTTTGAGTATAGATGAGGAGAATCAGCAGAGGTCAACATGACTGAGTTCAGATATTTAGATTTGGAGTAGAAGAAACAAAAATGCTGCAGACAAATTAACAAACAATAAAAAAAAACATTTGCAACTTTTTTGTTTGCAGCATTTTTCTTTTGCGTTTGTTTTTTTTTCCACTTTGGTGTTTTTGATTTTGCATCATGTGATTTGCACCTTGTTTCGTAATGCGCTGTAAGTTTATACCTGTTGGCCACAGTGCATACTGGTTTGGCCACCTGCAGACGCAGTTTAGGATTTATAAAAGACTAAATTTGAGCTAAACGCTGAGGTCAAACCTCAGTTTTTTTAAATTAATTATTTCACCAGATCAAAAAAAAAAGAGGACATATATTTAAATGTGAAGGTTTCCCAACAATGAGACTTGAGGAACGATTTGATGCTAACAATGAGTAGCTGAGGCATCTTTAAAGAATAATCAGCACCACAGAATTGAAACAACAAAGACTTTCTTTATCAAAAACCAATATTAGACTTTCACTGTCAAATGGAGTGTTTGTCCAAAAAAGCAGCAGAAGATCCTAAAAAATGGGATCAAAATGTAGGATTATGGTCTCATTGTACTTAAGAGAAATAAAAAATAAGAGTTTAAAATAAAGGAATTAAAGATCTTACTTGGTGAAAATCTCAATAAACTCAACAACCCGTTTCTCATCTTGACCAGTGTTGGAATAAAAACGCTTTTAAGTGAAACTCATTTAAGTATTGGTGTGAATACAGCTGTGTGTTGCGGATGGTTATGATGACAGTATTTTTGAGGTCCATCAGAAATATGATTTAACTCTACGTCTGTCATCTCTGGCCTGTTTTCCAAGGGTTTAGCGTGTGGCTTTTCCAGTTAGGAAACATTGTTTTCTACAAGATTTATGGAAGTTTGTTGTTCAGCATCAAACTGGGCTTTGTTGTGTTCGGGGTCTTGGTTTTCATGAGTCACACAAACATTTAAACAGCATGGGAACTTGATTTTTTTTCCAGTTGACCAAAGTGGCCTGAAGGAGATTTAGAAAAACAAAACTTTGACAGAAGACTCAATCTATCAGTGATGGTGTTTAAAGCCTCATATAATTCCTGTTGATATATTTACAACCTTTAACCTCCCCTTTGTGGAATATAGTCATAATAAGCTCCGAATGAAGCTCTAAATATAAAAATGAACTGAGTTAAACTGCCCAAGATAAACTTAGATGAAGAGATCGTATTAAACAACAGCAAAGAGTCTTTTTTAAGCCACACTGTCAGAAAATAAAACAAAAGAAATGACAAATTATGTGTGGCGATGCATATCCACTTACCAAAGAAATCAGCTGTTCATGGTTGAGCATTGTTGAACACCGCCAGAAAAAAAAGACAAGACAGGAAACAAAACATCAGACATAAAAAAGAACTATTAACTGACACTTTCACGTCATGCAGATTTATATCACCACACATTCAAAGTCAAAGATTTTCAGTTTCTTATTGATTAATCTGCCTTTAATGATATTCCAGGTGTCTCCCCCACCTGTTGCTGCACATTTCCAATCTTCTGACTGGAAAGAAACTTCCAATTCTTCCCTTACAAGAACAATTAATTTGTCGACCAGCAAATATTTTTTGCTCAAGACAAATAATACTCTTGAAGAACATACACATTTAAATATGGCTTCTTCAGGACACCAGTTACATAGAAAAAGTAGGATTTATATCACTAAACATCTGTCAGTAACCACATTTGAACATATTCTTTAAATGTGTCAAAGCCCCAATGGAAAAAATAATGGAAGAAAAAGAACAAAAGTAGTACCATATAAAAAATTCGGAAAACACCAGTTTCTGGACTTTCTAACAATCATTGATTTCATAATTTATCTTTTAGATGATAGATCAAAATTATTATCATGACTATAGTAGATACTTATCATGATAATAATAAACAACACAATAAAAGCACACCCCTTTAAAGTGGAACCTATGATCCTATTTAATAACTCTCCACATGTGTGTTCAGGAAGAGAGATTGCTTCTAAGTCAATAAACACAACATAATTGGAAAAAAGCACAATAGAAACATTTGACCAACTATAAGCTGAATTTCAAAAAATTATTTTATTAATGGGATTTAATTGCAAAATATTTAACCGAATCTGAATCTTTCTGTATGAGTATTGTACATGAATGATTTGATACTAAATTTTTTGGGATTGGTTCCACCTTAATTCTAAAGGACTAGTTATACTCCCTGCAGCAGTGTGTTGCAGTGAGCTTGTTGCAGATATTTTTGATTTAGCCCAATATTGAAGCGTGGTCTGCGCTATGTTATTCCACGCCACAACAAAGAGGGATAATCACGAACTAGCTGTGGGCCGAGATACGGTCGAGGTGGTGAGGAAGTGGGGACAAGTTTGTGTGACAACAGAGGGACATGATGGCGAAAAAGAGCGGGAATCCAGGTGGAAAAGAGGTCCCAGCGTTCTCGCGCACCTCGCTCTTCTAGCTGGTCCAACTTCATGAGTCGTTTCTTACAATGGTGGTCATACAAACAAAACAAGCCGGTAAGGAACCAAATAGGAAATACGCAGAGTGTAGAGCGGATGCAGATTTGACCAATCAGATGCCTCCTGTCTGCAGCACTGCCTGCGGTCACCTACAATTTTCCAGAGGTGCACCAGAGTGTCTGCTGAAGGGGCGGGGCGTTCACTGCGACAGACACGCAGATGACTTGGTCTCTGAGTGTTAACATTTTTTGCTGTAAAGCAGCAGAATGCAAGCTGGCTAATCAGATAGACTGTCTGAATAAATTATTAGTTAATATCTAATTATTATTATACTACCAGGAAACTGCAAGAAGTTATATTAAAAGTTCAAATCTTCAAATTAACATTAAAATGTATTTCTGCATTAGGTTGTTTTGATGCATCAGGATAAATGGAGACTTTTCTGTTGAAGTAAGAACTAATCGCTCAAGATAAATACTTTCCTTTTAAACATAAAAATGTAAACACCAAAATATTTTACCGTTGTATCCTATAATGACACATGTCTCACTCTCCATGTGGCTAACTGAAACATGGCTAACTGACCAGTTATGCTTGAGTAGTCAACAGAGCAGAGAATACAAACCCTTCTTTGCTTTTTTCTGCAGCTTCAAAGTATCTGATGATCTCTTTTTGATCTCCTGACGAGCTTTTTTATACTCTGTTGAGAGACATTGAAATAAATAACACAAAATGGAGGAAAATACCAGGAGCTGGAATGTTTGCTTGTCATACAAACCAGTTCACAAGATTTACAAGCAACAGTGTGTTTGTGAAAACCTTTGGCGTGATCTTTGTCCAGAGTGTTGGCCACCCTCTTCCACTCCTCCATCTGCTCCTGGAGAGGATTGATCAGGCAGTCCAGAAACACCCTGGAAACACAAAATCTCTTAAAACTGACAGCGTTCCGGAAAAAAGGTCTCCAAAATCATTCATTTTACATTTGTTCTTCGAAAAAACTGAGTTAAAACTCTTGTCATACGGCTTTAATATAATTATTGATAAATCAATTAATATTTTTAACAGAGATTAAGGGTGATTGAATTTTGCATAATCCAATGAAAGAAAACAATGAGTTAAGATCTGAACAGGGCTAATCGCTTCTGTCAGTACTGGAACTTATCATCCAGGCACTGAACAAGGGATTTACATCTACCAGTAATTGCATGAGAAAATAAAATATCTAAAATTTTGTAAACAAAAGAAAAATGAAAACGCTGCTTCTGCTTAAGCCTCTCTGCTGGAGAGTCAGACATAAACCATGAGAGGCAGTTCTGAAAACAGCTCTTCTATCCTAGCAGTATTTTTTCTTTTCCTTTCATGTCTTCGCACCCTTCAGCCTTTAACCACACCTAAACAACACTTTTAGTTCCTTTGCTGCTGTTAATATATATGGTTTAGCCTTATGAAGGGCTCAGGAGCTGCAGAGAAGCTGAAGCTGGGGTCTCACTGTATGTAAGCATGTGTTCTCTGTTTGCATCCTACTGTTGTCATTTTCCTTTTCTGCTGCTGAGTTGGAGGTTCCAGCTCCCCATTTCAACCTGACTGCCTCAAATCTGAACTGCGGGGGTTAATCGACTCACAGCATACATTTTTGAGGAGAAGAGAAAGTCATTTAGAAAAGGAAGGAAAAAGTCTGACAACCAGAGAAGCTCTATAAAGCTTGGGAAGAATAATGATTCTAAATGTTGCTGTAGGAAAAGGATATGAAGTGAAATGGCAGAGGGAAGAGAGGTAATATTTAAACAGAACAATTAAGTAAACAAGAAAATAAGAATAGGCTGGTTAGGAAGACACCCAGATCCACTCACATGGAAAACTGGCGGAGCTTAGCCTCGATGCTGCGGTGCCTCATGCACATCCTGGTGAGCGCTGATCCGATATCCCTGGTCCCCCCTGACAACAAAAACAAACACAGGCAGTCAGATATAAACTCTGTAACAGCTGATCTACTATCAAAGAAAACTAATTAAAAGCATGACTGTGTAGAATTAGCTAAGTAATGAGGAACATGGGAGCCATTTCCCCTTTAAGTTGCAGTTTTCCAGCAAATCATTACAATGAATATTGTACATTATATATATTTATTTCCTTCATTATTTTCCCCTTTCACAGTCACTTTTTCCATTTCTTTTAGATTAACCCCAAGGTGCTCGCAATCCACCCGATAGACAAGTTCTCTTCAGAGTGTCTTTTTTTTGGGAACCTTACCAGATGCCTGAACGAACTGAAACCTCCTGACATGGAGGAGCAAATTGTCCCAGATAGACAAATTTTTCATCTAATCTTTAAAGAAAAGTCTGAGCTACCAAGCAAAATTATTTCCACCTTATTTATCCATGGTCTCATCCTTTTTCTCACTCCCCAGAGTTTGTGTCAACAGATCAACCAATCAAGGCTTTTAAGACCGATGCTGCAAAAATACAGCATTTTTGTAATGACAGTGAGGTCTTTACCTGAGAGGATATGCTACAGGTCAGAAGCCATTAAAGTCTGCAAGGGAGCAAGAAGGTTCTTAGGTTCATAAGCAGCAGTCCCCAGCTTATGAATGGAAGTAATAAAAAAAAAGTGGTAAACCACTAGAGCATTGAGAAAATGGTCAATCAACTGATTCCAGAGTCTGAGGGAGATTCTAGAGGTGCAGACTGCAGCTGAGCCTCCACACAGAGACAAGTACAGGATGTACTACAGCCATCATGATCCTGGAGCAAAGCGCTTTGTCCAAGGAGGAAGGAAATGAGTTATTGCTCAGTCTAGGGCTCTTTTTTTAATTAGTTTTGAAATCAATGTCAGAAAGTCTGGAGAAAAAGTGGAGAGGAACTGAATTGTCTCTCTATGGATGAATTATAGAGCTTATGGAGGTGTGATGGTTTATCATCAACTGGTTCAAGGCCACTACATTTGATTAAGTCCAAAGTCAGAGAAAATAAACAAAGCCCTTTGAGAGTCTCTCTGGTTATGAACTTTATGAGGTGCAGATGCCTTTATGTTCCAACAAGAATTGGCACCTTCCCACAATGACAACTGTACCAATATGATGCAATATGATGACCAGGATGACATCACTGACCTTGATTGCTCAGTAGTCGTATTTGTTATTGATCTTATGTAAATTGGAAGTTTGGATTTTCTGAAGACCTTAATTTTTAGTCCTCAATACTTGAAAGCCATAATCATCCAAATCAACAGAGATAAAGTATCTGATTTACACATCTTAAATTAATTTTCTGTAATCAATAAAGTTTTTATTTTACAAATAGACTTAGACTGACTACTAATCCCTTAAAATATTTCAGACTCTAATTATAAAGCAATACATGAATAAATTCACTTAAATCATGAAAAAAATGGCAGTATACCAATTAATTTTATTTTACGGAGAAGCTCCAGATCAACACAAACTGAGATGCCGGTGTTAGATGTAACCAGGAGAATGAAATGATGAAGGATGCTTAACAAAAACCAGATGCAATAATATTTGATTTCACTATGTAGTGTGAAACCATTCACAGATTAAAGTGGTGCAAACTGCAACTCTCACTATGTCAGGTTGCCCCACCAAGAGTCTGGTGGGAATGTCCAAGATCCTTGCACAGTAGCTCTATAGGTTTAAAGAAGTTTTAATTCACGGCAAAAGTTCAAATAATAATCAAAGAGAGGTTTGGAGTTTTGACTCAAACTTAATTTCCTTTGGTTGGTTCATCGTTCCATGGATCTCTGAATAACCGCCACAGTTCTGTGGATTTATCGCATCTCACTGTGGTCTCTCCCTCCACGTTATCTCACACCGAGTCCAGGACTGAAGGCAGGACTCTGTGTTTGGTCCAGACCATCTGTTGCAGGATGGGTCCTGCTTTCTGGTGCCTATTTTTCCCACTCGGAGATAATTTATACCTTTTCTTTTGTTATTTCTCCTGAGTTTGTGTTCTTCCTAACAAAAAAAGCCTTCAAATTGATTTTCTTTTAAAGAGATCTAGTATCAATATATTTTAATGACTGAGGAAAGGAATGATTTGAATTCTCCATCAAGTAATTAAAAAGCTTTTTTAGTAGATTTGATGTAAAATATTTTAAGCTATTGAAACTACCCAAAGTGGTAAAGAAAGTATGATTTTTCCAGCATCTCCTGAGCCTGGATTTATTTAGGTGTAAAGGTTTTGTTGAAGGACACTCCAGCAGGGTGCAGATAAATCGACTCTTAACTGATTCTCAGTGCAGCAGAAGCTCCACAGGCACCTGAAAGGGCCCAGATGGCCGTCCTTTCTCTTCCCCTGACAGGGCGCACCCTCCTGGGAAAAGGGTCTCTCAATCTCTGCTTGACAGCCTGGAGATTCAACAAAAACGCCTCAGCATTTACCAACAAGCTGCTTGCATTGCTAGACACAAGGAAGATTTTACACTTTCACCCCCACGTTATCTACACTCAACTGTCTATCTAAAGAGACAACTTAATTAGCCTGAATTAATTTCATCAACAGCAGATCGACGTCTTTGAGTCTTATCAAGAAACATGACTGAAGTTACCCAGTTGTGAACCAACAGCTGTTGTTTAGGGTGTGGTGATGAACACTGCAATGCACCAGTGACTCCACTTTCCTTTCCTCACATCTTCCTTTCATCCTTCCTCTGACACATCTCTGTCACACCCGCTCTGACTCTCATTTTCTCTTCAGGACCTCTGTTATCACAGCAGACCATGTTACGATGTGATGCCACTTTAATAGCGTCAGCACGGATGAACCGGCTGCCGAGATGAGCAGAGTCCCAGCACCTTCTGATTCCAAACGCAAGAATTTCACATGACGTCGGATTGGTTAAATCAGACCCGACCTCTTGGACGGTTCATTTGTTCCTTAATATAATACACTGTTATTCTGAAAAAAATGAAATAATTATGATTAGACTTTAGCCAAAGCTGTACAGCTTTACAGAAAAGCTGAAAAGAAAGTTTCATTACCGAGTCACTGGAAGGGGCCCTGCTGACCATCTCTTTTTTTAAAGCATTTCAAATGCCACGATAAACATATTCAATTAATTTCAGTGCCAATTAAGACCTTAATTAAAAAAATTATTTAATGATACGCGGAAAACCCTGTTATCCTTTGACCAGACCAAAGAAAAGTACATATATCTAAATGTGAAGGGTCCCCAACAGTGAGACTTGAGGAGTAATTTGATGCTAACAATGAGTAGCCGAGGCATCTTTAGAGAATAATCAGCATAATCAGAGGTTTTTTGAGGAAGTTTGCTAGTCTGAAACATAAATGCGTGGTGATACAATGCCAAGGTTTAATGACACTGTAAATTAACTTAGAGGAGAAACAGTTGCTGCCAATAAAAAAATAAAAAAAAAAGGTATAAAAGGTACAGTTTGACAGAAAAGAGGGGAGGGATGGCCTAGTGGCTAGAGCATTGTGCTTGGGTCGCAGAGGTTCTGAGTTCAATGCCCACTCATTCACACAGACTGCCACTCTGGGTCCCTGAGCAAGACCCTTAACCCCATGACTGCTCCCTGGGCGCCACACAATGGCAGTCCACTGCTCCCCACAGGATGGGTTAAATATAGAGTGTGAATTTCCCCATGTTGGGACAATAATAATAAAGACAGTACAGTATTTTATTGTGCATCTTTTAACTCATCCCTATTATGTTTTTCTTATACATTTTTCTAAGGTCCATATTTGTGGGACCATTTCTTCTATAATCTTTTTTCTGATGTAAAAACTAGAATTTCCCCATTGTGGGATAATACAAGGATTTTCTATTTTATTCTATTTTAATACAGGATTTACATTTACAAAAGATTTCACAAGATCATCGGTTCTCTTGTGGCAGCTTCAAGAAATCCTTTTAATCTTCCAAGGACTTGATGTTCCAGTAAAGGTGCCCTAACATGAGACCATGCAGCTTCTAAAAGCTTTACATCAACTGCTCCCCGCTTTTAAATGTTTAAAATTAGTCCATGATAGGAGAGTTTGGAAAAGACTGAACCCATATGCTTTGTTTTGATGGTTAACCAGGAAAAAACAACTTTGGTTTGCAAAGTTATCTCTGGAAAATGGAATATTATTCCCAAACACCTCATCTAAAACGGCAAAAAAGAGGTAGAGGGATTATGATTTGGGCTTTGCATCCACAACTTGCATACCTAGAGGTCATTAAGACCTCAAGGTGTGAAAATCAGCTGGTTTTTCCTTAGATAGAAAACTTTAAATCAATCTGACTGTATGATCTGGTTGAATTGTCTCTGTAAAGAGCCTTCAGATGACGTGTTATGAATTAGCGCTATATAAATAAAATAATTTGGATTGAATTAAGACAACTGGGAATGCATGTGTGCACAAGTATTCTAGAATAAAATGTGAGACCATCTATCCAACAGCTGAATGCAGATTAAACCGTGTAATCAACAGAGTAAATGACCCCAAACGCTGCTTCTAATGGTGGGAAAAGAGATGAAAACAAAGTGCAGGCCTGAATCCGACTGAAATACTGTGACTGGAAACAGAAACAAAAATCACCAAACATTTGAACCATAAAGAAATATTATGGTTAAAAATAATCCAACTATATGTCAAATTACAGCCGCTGAAGGTATTTTTTTAACAACCAGTTCCAACTATTTGATCATGTTTTTTTTCCCACTATGACTATTTTGATAATCATGGCCGCTGGGTGTCAAATAGCATCTTTACTGTAATTCCAGACACACTTTTCCATAAAACAATCCCTCAAAGCGAAGACTGGTGAAGACAGAATCCCTGTAAGGTTGTGTTACACATCTAACAGCCACATGTTGCTCATCATCGTCTCTGCCAGCAGCTGAGCATACAGCCCTCCAAATAGGAAATAGTGACAGAAGTGCTATCCCAACCTGTATGCTCATAAAAGTCTTT